CTCATTGAATGGGAATTACATGTCATTGAGGCAAGCTCGCCCATAATCGAGTTCCACAAACAGCAACAAAAGCAAGAAGGGCAGTCTCACACCAGAGAATGTTTAAAGAGAACCTGTTACCACTGAGCTTATGCAACAACCGTATTAACCATTCTTAAACTATTACACAGTCATGTGAAATGGTAAGTAAGCCCCATGGAAATTGTTGACAGACAAACACTAGATCTTTATTCAACAGTGCATACAAATAAAGAGGATATACATTTGAACAAATGGCACACAAGATTGACATGATTTATTCACTCTCATAATGAAAATGAACAACAATGCATGTGTCACATGGAAAAAAAAATAAGTACATCCCTACATTTACATTACCACCATTTCCAATACATAGAATTGCAGTCAGTTGTTCTTGATAAGGTACCAATAAGAGCCTCCTTAGAATCTCAACCTCATATTTAAAAGGTCTGGTGGTCTGTTTGCCATTGACATGGTGTCATTATGCCAGGGGTAGACAAATTAATATGGAATTCAGGAGGCAGTCTGTCCAATGCAGAAGACAGCTGGATTCCTTTTTCTTTTTTTTGGAGCCAGCTCCATTGACAACTAGAAAAAAAACCCTCGAAAGTTGGGCACCAGCTGTAATTTTTAAGGAGCACTGGCAACCTGGCTTCCGGCATTTGTCTTGCCATGCATTATGCCAAAATCAAAAATAGCTAAGGCTCTCAGAAAGAAGGTTGTGGATGCCTAGCAGTCAGGAAAATGATTTTGAAAGGATCGCTAAATTATTATAAATGAATCATTTCATGTTAAGGAAAATTATCTACAAGAAATGTCGGTGTCAAAAGGATAGGACTGATAATTTGTCCGGGACTGACCAGCCAAAATTAGCTCAAGAACTGACCGTTTTATGCTAAAAAGAAGCCTCCAAGAAGCCCAATAATCCATTGTGGGAGCTGCATCTATTTCTTGCTACACTTGTGTGCCAAAGTGTATGCATCTACCGTCAGAAAATGTTGGCACCAATTTAAGCTGCATGGGTGTTACACTAGGAAAAAGCCTTTGCTATCCAAAAATATCATTTAGAGCAGGACTACAGTTTACCATTAAACACATAGGCAAAAATTAAGAAATTTGGAACAATTTTCTGTGGGCTGATGAATCAAGGATAGAGTTGATTCGCCACAGTAACAGTAGACATATTTGATGCAAACCAAACAGCATTTCCGGAGAAGAACTTTATACCAACTGTAAAGCATGGTGGAGGAATGATTTCTGCATCATATCAAAAAGGAGAAAATGTGGACGAGTTGAAATGTTACAGTTACAGTTGAAATGGATCTTTCAAGGAAATGTTCCGAAACACACTAGCAAACCAAGAAATGGTTAAAAAAAAATAAAAAATAAAAAATAAATAGGAGGGTTGTGGACTGGCCTAATTAAAGCTCTGATTTCAATCCCATTGAAATGTTGGGGGGGGTGTAGTTGAAACAAGCAGCTCATGCAAGGAATTCCACAAACATCTTAGAGATGTCAGAGATTGGGAAGTATTTATTCAAAAACACCAACAAGAATTCATTACTGATGAAATGAGCCATATAAACTTCGAAGACCAAGGGTATACTTACTAATCCAAAGTACATGATAATATCAATTGATATTTTTGTTGAATAAATTATTGAAAAGGCACATTTTCCTTTTTATTATTATTGAAAGTTATCCTCTATCTGTAGGTGCTGTGTAAATGAAGATTTAATGTAGGTCTGTTCAAATATGGTTAAAAACAAGTCAGTTTCCATGGGGTGGTCTTACTCATCAGACTTATATTTGATCCTTAATTAACATATGAGCACTCGAGGAAAACTCTGGTATGGAAAGACTCTCAAAAGTAGAGTGTTTCCGAAAACAGAGATCCCTAGGTATTGAAATTCATCTAAACTACAGCGATAGGTTTGACACGGCATAATGTGGAGCTGGGAGTACAAGTTGGCAGCAACATTTAGAAGTGCTTACATAAAGTAAAGCTATATAGGAGAGTAAATTTACATTTTTGAGAACGGTCATAATACAAGAGTCCTGTGTATTCCTACTTGAATCTTGGTGTGCTTTTTGTGTACTTCTTCCAGATCTGTGCAGAGAAAATCTCAAAATGTAGGCGCCATCTGTGAGTTGTAAGGCTGGGCACACACCTTACAACCATCGCAAGACTTTTGTCTTGCGATGGTTGTAAGGTACTTAAAAAAACGTACGATCTGCCTATGTTGCATAGGCAGATCGTACTTGCGATGATCGCAAGCCACGCCCCCTGAGGGGCGGGCTTCCGATGACCGCAATGCCGAACGGGCAGTGTGCGCTTGCGCACACCGGCCCGTGCGGCTGTTATCGTACGGACATGCCACAAACCCGAACATCGTACGATGCTCGGCGGGTTTTCAAACATGTCCGTAAGTTTAAAGTCGTGCAACCTTACAGTAGTAGAGGTCGCACGGCTTCCACACACCTTACGATCATCGTACGATCGCGGGATTTCCCGCGATTATCGTACGATAAATCGTAAGGTGTGTGGGGACCCTAAGGCGCATTGGCTACCTGGCTCCTGGGATTTGTCCAGCCCTGCGTTAAATGCACATTTAAATCCTATGCACCGGGTCTCCTTGACTACATACTGAAGTGGATCTTGTTACCAAGTAAAACAAAATTTCAAAATTTATCATAAACCTTACGCAACACCAACGGGTTTTTTTTTTTAAAGGCTTTAACCCTTTAAATAAAAAAGCAAAAATATATTATATAGAAATAAAAAATTCCCACAAATACATGGAATTAAAAACGACATCTGTATACGGATTCATAGAGGCTAACTAAAACAGCAGGACAATGGCTGAGCGCACACAAGTGCTATTTAAGTGCTCCATCTCCCTAACTGACCAGGATTCAGGACTCGGAGAACCAAAAACACACAAAGCACTCAGGCATTTGCGCAAAATGCCAAAGTAACAAGGATGCAGACCTGATCTACCCTGGGTCCTTGATAATTGGACATCTTCCGCAAAGAGTCGTGTGCTTCGTGACTGTGTTACACAGGTAGCCTTGGTTTATTACACGAAGCAGTGCTTTGCAACAGCCAAAATTGTAAAACGGCAGAGCTCTGAATGTAACCTATTAAAACAAGGATGGACAAATTGATATGGACTTCAGCCAGTCTTTCCAATCCAAGAGCCATCAGGATTTATTTTAGGAGCCAGATACATTAAAAGAAACAAAAGCTTAAAAAAAAAAAAGTTAGGTGCTGGCTGTAATTTTAAGGAGCATTGGCTACTAGGCTCCTGGGATTTGTCCAGCCCTGTATTAAAGTGCCCGGGTCATAAACGAAGTATAGGGCATGCCATTGTTGGCTTATAAACATTACTTTTCGGTGTCGGAGGTCAATACCTGGAACGTGAATGCTGTACATGAAATTCAAAACTGTTTATACTTGTTCCAGGCCAGTGACTCATGAAGCATTGAAGTCAATGTATCATCATGACAACCAGGTAACCATCATTTTCAGAAGGAGAGGTCAACAATGGCGAACACCATGATTCTCCAATGACCGTTTCCTACACTGGAACGTCTGATGACATGAAAATTTGCTGGTCTCCTAAGCTTGACACCTACATATATTTGTCTATGTCCATTTTACTTTAAAGAGACCCTGTCAAACAAAAATTGCAGGTAAAAGCGCAGCAAAATACAGTATTTAAATGGTTGTTTGCAGTGTTCTTATTTAGAGCAATTATATTTGCTTCATTTGCAGTGTGCCTTTGAACTGACTAGAGAAATGTGACTGCTCTAGCAAGAGTCAATGGCCTAGCACAACCTTCTCTCTCCTTGCACATCATAGCCCTCTCCTCTTGTGGGAAAGTCTAAATACTATCTGTGCTGGCAGAGCTCCTCTGCCCCTCCCCTCGCATCCCTACATAACCTTTTATGTAGACGTCAGGGGAGAAGCGAAGGGGAATACTATATAGTGTCACTTCTGTGAGCCTGCTGACATCACATCCAAGATGGCGACACCCAGTAGCAGTCTTAGAGCTTCTGGATGACTACACAAGTGAGGCTTTTACATGTATATATCGTGTGTGTGTGTGTGTATATATATATATATATTTATTTATTACACACACACACACACACACACACACACACACAGTATAAAATGTTACAATGCACGTAATCGTGTGGGAAGATTTTGGTTGAAATGAACAGGTCTGGTGACAGGGTCTCCTTCAAACCAACAGGCATCGGCGAGAACCATGCCATGTCCGTGCACCCCACCACCAACAGCTACAACATGACATAGGAAAAAGCCAGAGACAGGAATTTTCTGTTATAAAGTCTTCCACATATCTATGGGTGTTTATGTAGTTCTTTTCCTGAAAATAAATCGGTTACCTGTTTAAAGACAAACTTCAGGTAAACGTTTTATAAGACCTTGTAGCTGGGCTGCTCCTGACCTGCAAGGGTTAAGCGCTCCTTTTTGCCTAGGGTATTGGATGTGATAACCCACAGGACCTTCGACCGCTGCAGCGGAGGGGAGAAAGGCTCCAGGAACCAGTCTAAGAGCAAGCCGGCTTGTAGGATCGGGTGAAGATAATGTTTTTATTTTTGGCCCTAGGCAAAAACGAGCACTTAACCCTTGCAGTACAGTAGCCCCACTGCAAGGATTATTGTATTTTTTACCTGGAGTTTTTCTTTAAAATGTCAACAGTGCTCAGTACAGCTCTTTAGCATGAACTTGGCAAGCTCTTGAAATAACATGTGTGCACTAGCCCTTTACATCTAAAAATTCAACTGAAGTTTGGAAATTCACATTGTAATAACGCAGAACACCCATTGTTAGTTCATGATTAGAAACGAAGGCAAAGTAAAAATAGTAATAAAAAAACAAAAACAAAACATAAAATTAAATTCTGGCGTGTCAAACACCTCCTTCTTTTGGACCAAGTACAGAAAGTGGATCTACCTGCCAGCAAACATTTCAATTAAATAATAAATTATTTATTTGGTAGACATAAGCATAGGTCCTTAAAGGATTCCATATGTGTAAGTGCTCTGTATGCTCATTGATGAGCCGTTAAAAGGCCTTTTCAAAGTAAACGAAACCTTCAAATTTGGAATGGCCCCATAATTGTGTTCGTTGCTTCAAAGGCTTTGCTTTTGTAATAGTCAGATTGCTCTCTTTGCTCCGTACAAGGCCCATTTTACCTTTACAAAGAGAAGTAAATAAACATGAACACTCCTACGGAGCATACACAAACCAGTCCGGTGTTGAGAATTCGTTGAATGGCCGGCTTCTCTTCCAGCATTTTTAGACATGTTGCTTCATCTTCTACCTCTTCCTCTACGGTTTGTTTGTTGGCAGCGCTGCTTTTGTAGCCGCAGAACCAGTCAAAAAACTTGGAGCACCTGCCCTGGTCCTCGTTGACCCCATCAGTTGGGATCTGACCCATAAGAGCTGCTTGTCCGTTGGAATAACAATCCACAGGTGTCTCTGCCTCCGAGACACTCAAGGAGCTCAGAGGGTTGGAGTCGTCTTTGTAAGCCATTAGAAGGTTGACATCCTCATTGTGGATGTTTTTAATGTGATCATCAGACTTCCCATTGGGCAACACTTGCTTAATGTTAGTTTCTGTAATGGGTGTGAAATTCGTGTCACATTCCTTATAAGGATCGTCTTTGTGGACTTTTTCTTTTATAGTTTTGTTTTTAAGTGCCCAGAAAGTGGTGGTTCTGATCTGATCTTTCTTTGGAGGTGATGTCAAAAGGCTGACTACTATGGCAATAATAGCAGTGATCCAAAAGAGTGCAGTCGCCACATACATGTAGTGGATATTTTTAATAAAACTGGGTCTGTTATCTGGCAAGTTGCACTCTGGGGCACGATAAACAAAGGCCAGAATAAGACGTGTGAAGCCAAGTATGAAACCCACCACGCCACCATAGAAGGCCCCCTGTTCATTGCAGCGTTTCCAAAATATGCCCAGCAGGAACAAAGCAGCAACAGGAGGAGTCAGGTAATCCGCCACCTCTTGGATGTAAAGGTACATTTGGCCTCCTTGCATTTCCACAATGATGGGAACCCATGCAATACTAATGATCACCATAAATGCTACAAAAACTCTCCCCACCATCATGAGTTCTCGAGATGTTGCACTTCTCCGGATAAATTTGTAGATGTCAAGAGTGAAGATGGTACTTGCACTGTTAAATATGGAGTCAAGATCACTCATGAGAGCTGCAATCATTACAGCCATCATGAGACCACGCAAGCCAACTGGGAGGACCTTCATGACTAACCGGGGATAGGCAATGTTGGAACAGCCAGCCCTGCTGCCACACACTGCCATGCAGTGCTCTGGATTAATGCAGGCAATATCCTCCACAAACATGATTCTAGATATCATTCCTGGAATCACTATTAAGAACATTGGAAGAATCTTTAAAAAACCAGCCATAAGAGTCGCCCCTTTGGCATGAGAAAGATTTTTTGCGGCCAAAACCCTTTGCACGATGACTTGGTCTGCACACCAGTACCACACAGAAGCTGGTGTTTGACCCAAGATAAACCCAGGCCATGGAATGTCTTCATCAGTAGCTTCCCGGAGCATTTTAAGTGAATCCGGCTTTGGTGTGACATGGCAGGAGTTTGTATTGGTAAAGTTATAGGTCAGTAATATGGATGTGACATTTGGAGTTGCAAGCATGTATCTCCTTTTAACTTCTTCAAATCCTCCGATTTCAACAAAGCTTATTATGGTCAATGTCAAGGCCCCTATAATCATGAGGAAGGCCTGGAGAGTATCTGTATAAATAACAGCCATCAAGCCCCCTGTCACCGTGAGAATAGCAGTCATCCCAATGAGCAAAATCACTGATAAGTAAAGGTTCCATCCCAAAGATTCCTGAATGAACAATGCCCCTGAATACAAGTCTACAGAGAGTTTGGTGAAGATGTACAAAATCAAGGACAGAACAGCATAGTACACTTGGATTCTATGTCCTCCATAACGTTTAGATAAGTATTCCGGCATTGTGTACACTCCAGAACGTATATACACTGGAATGAAGACCCATCCGAGGAGCTGCAAAAGCAACAAGGCATTTAGTTCCCAGGCCCCTACAGCAAATCCACTTGCTGCTCCAGATCCTGAGAGTCCAATGAAATGTTCACTACCGATATTGCTTACAAATAAGGAGGCACCAACAGCTGCCCAGGTCATTGATCGACCCGCCAGGAAGTATCCACTTACAGTACTCCTGTTCGACTTCCACATTGCAAAAAATCCCAAGCATAATACTAACACAAAGTACAGTGCCACTATGGCGATATCTGCCGCTTCCATCGAAGCCCTCATGATTACGTGCTGCAGTGCTTTCAATTTCTGGACAATCCTTTTAAAAAAATAGGCAACATGTAAAACAGTGCAAAAAAGTCTTTGTCCTTTGGTTTGCTTTCTTGATGTTGGCTCCTGCAATATCCGATTCTTAGCATGCAGTTTTTACTTAAATCGACCATTTCCAAAGCCATCGGCTATTTAACCGCAGAGACAGGACCTATGGTAAGGAACCCTGCAAGGCAGCAAAAACAAAAAAGACAAAGTCACAATTAGAAAAAGGTAGTCATTGTGGAGACAATGACGCTCCAATAAAAAATATATATATGCTGAACAGTGAAGCACCAGATTACATATAACTTGGACTGATAACAGCGTGGTCAAGCACAATCCCTGGAGGGAGGCAGCCACTGGGGATTGTCCATCCCCTTTCTTTACTTTTTCAAGCAAGAGTCATATCTCTGCTTGAATTATCAGGTTCATCTCCAGGCTGGCGACATCAGGCACTGCACTATTGGAACTTCCACTTATGCCTCAGCTGGGAGGTGACCCTATCATTGGAGAAGGCTACTCTGCCTCTATTCATCATGAGCAACTGATGTCATGGGGTACCGAGAAGTGCCAAGTAAGAAAAACAGGGCACAACTTCCACGGAAGAATTAGGAAAAGGAGTATAGCAGATAAATATAGAACTGGATTAACTTGCGAAAGAGTATAGGGGAAAAATGTATTGCATTAATACATGTGATAGCACAGTAAAGCCTCATTAGAACAAAGATATTCACAAGCATGATTCCATAATATATATGAAAAATCAAGGTATTATTTCTCATTTTAGGATAGTGGATGGAGCCATGCAAATTCTTTCCTTTATGCTCCATGGTCAACCGTGCATACCATGCATTTGAAGCTGTAGGTGTGTAGCACAGACACAGCCTAGTATTATAAAGCCAATATATTCCAAACTGCATTAGGGCTGCAACAACTAATTGACATAATCGATTATTGCAAAAGTTGTAAACTTTTTCAATCATCGATTAATCGGCTTCCGATTGGTTGGCCCTGTTCACGGCTCCACACACACTGCGCGCCGCACCTCCTCCCCACCTCACGCTCGCCGCTGCCAGACCCGCCCGTGTGCATCCACACGCCGCACCTCCTCCCCGCCTCACAGCCTACCCAAATCCACGATCGGCACAGGGATGCGGGGATAAGAAGTAAGGAGGAGCAGGCGTGGGGGGATGACAGCCGCCGATAGACAGGCCCGATCTCAGAAACAAGTTGCTGGAAGACTGCTCAGGTAAGCCTGCACTTTCCCCACACATGGTGCTCTATAATGTATTGCTGAGATTTGTATTCCTCTATAGCTGATGGTACATTGTGCTCTATACTATACAGAGCAATGTACCATTAGCTATAGAGGACTACAAATCCCAGCAATACATTATACATACAGTGTATAATGTATTGCTGGGATTTGTTGTATTCCTCTATAGCTGATGGTACATTGTGCTCTATACTATACAGAGCAATGTACCATTAGCTATAGAGGACTACAAATCCCAGCAATAGTACAATATAGCTGGCGGTATTCTGCATTGCACTGTAAAATGTACTATTTCCTGGCTTCGGAGTCCTCTATAGCTGGTGGTATTCTGCATTGCACTGTAAAATGTACTATTGCCTGGTTTCGTAGTCCTCTATAGCTGGTGGTATTCTGCATTGCGCTGTATAATGTACTATTGCCTGATTTTGTAGTCCTCTAAAGCCGGTGCCATTCTGCATTCATTGCTGTATAATTTTACATGGTCCATTTCACTATATTGCACACCACACTTTTGTTTTTCTTTTTTACTTCCACCGCGCCACGCTTGCTCCTGTGATGCACTGCAATCTCAATACAAACTAGTAGTCCCATCACTGGATCCATTTTTAAAAATTTATTTTATTTTTTATCCGATTAATCGAACTTAATAAATCGGCTACCTAATTTTGAAAATAATCGTTAGCTGCAGCTCTAAACTGCATACAGCCGTTTTATGCTTGGTGACCATCATCAATGCAGTATATAGAAACAATGGTTACTACAGAGTAGGGCTTGGTGACCAACAAACAATGGACCAGAAGGTTATGGTGAGAAGGGTCTACACGAGCCCTCCACTGTACTAGTGCATAGAACATCTGTTCTAAGAAGGATCTATGTGTTATGCACTGGTTCAGTAGAGGGCTTATTTATTGCTTTCCTGGGTTATACAAACACATTTCCCAATAACAGTATGTACCGTAATAATCTAAAACTTCTAGATGCCAGAATTTGTTTCAATGTAAGATATGAAGGTAGGAGGAGCTGGATCCAAATGTAGACTGATTTCACAGTTCAGTATTAAGTTGTACAAAAGGGCTCAGCGGGCAGCTCTAGGGGGCACCTCTTAAAATCCAAGAGGTGCATGAAAAAAGAAAAAAAAAAAAAAACAGAAGAACCATACTAAATGCTTAGAGACCATAAAAAGTTAATTATACCCAATACCCCAACATTTTCCAGGGCTTCTAATGGGTACCTTTCACCCGGGTGTAAAAATCTGCAAGGTCTTGGGTGTGAATGGGTTAAAAATGAAAAACATTAAAAACTTAGAGATAAGGGCAGAGTCCAGGAGCTGAGCATCCTGAAATGTGTTGGTTTGTCCTTTTGACTTTTTATAATGAAAAACTCTTCAAGGTCTCTCAACATTTGGTCTGGCGCATACGTTTTCCCCTATACCTCTAGGGCTGCTTTCAAGTCCAATTATTTTGAAAATACAGTTTACCTATTTCAAGAATTACAAAATATTCTGAACAATATGTACATCACAGTTACCTACTGGCTTCTTCTATAATTCAGGGACTTTAGGTCATCTTTACAAGGTAATTAATTGAGTTTCAGTCTTTAAGATTTGCAGTGTGTTTTACATAGAGGAGTTGGAGATCAAGAAGGGTTGGAAGCTCCATTGGAGAGCTCTCACAGCCAAAGTTATGAATTGTCGCCTAGCCCCCCCCAACGATCTTTTATACAAAAAGTTGGTTTCACCGTTTCCGTTTACCCGCAAAAATGTACACGTTTCAGACCAGCAGAGACCACACGTAGCTGAAATATAAATTTTAGGTGGACATGATATGAAAGACTAATTTAGTCACAATTAAAGCAATGTCTAGACGCGTAATAGGCGGAAAGGATATCTGGTTATCCACACATTTTCTCCTTATTAAACTTGAAGGACAAGCAGACCTCTTCTCAGTCTGAAATGTCTTATAAAAGTAAAAGATTACATTGCGTGACGCTATACAGCTAATATTAGACTGTTGCACCAGGGGAGGGTAAGATTATATGTCAAGTCTTCACTGATGTCTAATGCTTTGTTAAAGTATAATTAAAGCCTCCGGTGTTTTTGCATATAGCTAATGCTAGCAAGCAGTAGATATATGCAGAAAGTGTAAAAAAACAAAAAAACAAAACGCTTTAAACGTACTAGTGTCTTCCCCGCACGCTCCGTTAGAAAATGTGAAAAATTCTCGGGCGGCCGCAAAGCATCTTGGGACGGGCGCATGCGCAGTTCACATTTTCGGCCAGGAGACGAGGAGAGACACAAAGTATATGGACAGCATGCACCCGCTTGCAGACACCGTGGGACAGAAAGTGCCAGGAAGCACAGAGGAGTCAGCGCTGGATCGGAGACCCGCAGCAGCTATGGAGGGCCAGATGAAAACGACAGGAAAGAAAAAGATCGGATTAAGAGACATTATTTAAGGTAAGTGCTATAATTAACATTGGGGGGGGGGGGATATTTTTGACTTTGTCAAGCCGATAAGAAGATTTACTCTCCCTTCCTGTCCCAGGAGCAATGTCACCCAGACAGGAAGTGAGGGAGAATCTCCAAAACACAGAAAGTGATAGCAATAAAAATATAAAAGTCAGGGGACCTCTACTGAAATATGTTTTTCTCGCTGCCTATCTTCCTGTTGCAAACTTCTTAACTCCCTGTGAAGACAAGATGTAGTTTCTAGGATAAGAAATGAAGGAAAACCTTCAGCACAGAGCTCAAAAAAAAAAAAGGGAAGAGGAGCGCAAGACCTGATTATTGAGGTTCTAAGCTTTCCTTCATTTATTTAGAAAAAAAGTTGCGGTTTGAGATAAACATTAAAGCTGCCCATACACCTTACAATTTATCTGCAGATTTTCTGTGGTCCGATGGAAAAGGTGCAACAGATTCCTCCATCTACACCTAACTGTGTGGATGGAGTAATCTCCACCAGGGCCAATCTGTTGCACTTTTTCCATCTGACCACAGAAAATCGGCAGATAAATTGTAAGGTGTATGGGCACCTTTAAGGTGCCCATACACTTTACAACCATCGCAAGACCTTAGTCTTGCGATGGTTGTAAAGTAATTTAAAAAAAACGTACGATCTGCCCATCTTGGACAGGCAGATCGTACCTGCGATCATCGCAAGCCCGCCCCGGGCTTCCGATGACTGCAATGCTGAACGGGCAGTGTGCGCACACCGGCCCGTTCGGCAGTGATCTCTCGATCATGTTAAAAACCAGCCGAAAATCGTACGATTCTCGGCTGGTTTTCCAACATGCTCGATATACAAAAAAAGACATGCGACCATACATTAGAAACGGTCGCACGCCTTCCATACACTGCACGATTCTCATACGAGAATCGTGCAGTCTATGGACACCTTTACAGGGTGGTGTTGATACACTAAAGCATTACAGCTGTTCACTTAGTGAATACTCCCTAAACTCGAAGCCGTGTTCACTTTGAATGCCTAAACATGTGCAAAGGATATAAAAAAAAAAAAAAAAAAACACATGCAAGGGAAACTAAAAATAAGACTTTTTCATGCATGATTAGGTGATTGACATAAAAAAACAGCTACAACCTATTTACCAACACTTAGGGGGCATTCACAATCTCTACCCCTTTAGTAAATAAACCCCTATAATTGATTAATGAATAGATCAGTCAACCCTCAAAAAGCAAAATCTACTTGCTGCTCCCTACTTGGTGCCATGGTTCAACATAAATGCATGCCGTTTCCTATGGAGAACAAACCATAAAAGGTGCCCATACACCTTACAATTATCTGCAGATTTTCTGTGGTCAGATGGAAAAAGTGCAACAGATTGGCCCAGGTGGAGATTCCTCCATCCACACAGTTTAGCGTAGATGGAGGAATCTGTTGCACCTTTTC